ACCAAAGACCAAAGACCGAGACCAAAGCATAAAAAATTTAAAAAAAAAAAAATTTTTAGAAATTTTTTTTTTTAATTTTATTTTTTAGAAATTTTTTTTAAAATTTTTTTTTCTAAAAAAAAAAATTTTTTTTTTTTAAAAAATTTAAAAAAAATTTAAAAAACTTTTTTTTCTGAAAAAGACCAAAGACCGAGACCGAGACCGAAGACCGAGACCGAGACCGAGACCGAGACCAAAGACCTCAAAGACCAAAAATCCAAGACCAAAGACCGAGACCAAAAATATAAAAAAAAATAAAAATTTTCAGAATTTTTTTTTTTAATTTTATTTTTTAGAAATTTTTTTTAAAATTTTTTTTTCTAAAAAAAAAAATTTTTTTTTTTAAAAAAATTTAAAAAAAATTTAAAAAACTTTTTTTTCTGAAAAAGACCAAAGACCGAGACCGAGACCGAGACCAAAGACCACAAAGACCAAAAATCCAAGACCAAAGACCGAGACCAAAAATATAAAAAAAAATAAAAATTTTCAGAATTTTTTTTTTTAATTTTATTTTTTAGAAATTTTTTTTTTTTTTAGAAAACAATTTTTTTTTCTAAAAAAAAATAATTTTTTTTTAAAAAAAATTTAAAAATAAAAAGAATAAAAAGAAAAAAATAGAATAGTTCAAAAGAGATCGAAATCGAGACCGAGACCAAGACCGAGACCGAGACCAAAGACCAAAAGACCAAAGACCAAATTTTAGAAAAAAACTTTTCTAAAAAAAAAAATTTACAAAAAAATTAAAAAGATTTTTTTTTTCATTTTTTTAGAAATTTTTTTTTCAGAATTTTTTTTTTTCAGAAATTTTTTAGAATAGTTTAAAAGATATCGAGATCAAGATTGAGACCGAGACCAAAGACCAAAGACCAATGACCAATGACCAAAGACCAAAGACCAAAGACCAAAGACCAAAGACCAATACCAAAAATCCATAAAAATAAAAAGTCCCCGAAATGCCTTAAAATGCAAGATTATGTCCTAAAACATGGTGCCAAGAGACCGAGACAATATTTTTTAGAAAAAAAAATTTTCAGAAATTTTTTTTGAAAAATATTTTTTTCCAGAACATTTTAAGAAAAACAATTTTTCTAAAACTTTTGTTTTTTCAGAAAATTTTTTTTTCTTTTTTTTTGAAAATTGTTTTTTCTAGAAAAAAAAATTATTTCAGACATCTTTTTAGAAAATTTTTTTTTCAGAATTTTTTTAGAATAGTTCAAAAGAGATCAAGGCCGAGACCGAGATGAAATTTGAAATTTTGAAATTGTTTTGTTCAAAGATTTTCATCAAATATTTCAACATCGGACGAAAGGTTTTGGTTTTGTCGAAAAATTCCCCAAATTTGTTTTTTCAAAAACATTTTCAAAATGCTATATTTTAATGAGTAACGTGCAGAAAAGATAAAATTTTGAACAAATTTTTTGTTCAAAAGTTTCATCAACATATTTCAACATTGGACCACAAATTTTGGTTTTGCCAAAAAATTCGCCAAATAATATTTTTCCAATTTTTTTTCCAAATGCTATATTTGAATGAGAAACATGCAGAAAAGATAAAAATGTTCGAAACGTTCACCGTTTGACCAACATGATATGCAGAATTAAAATTTTACAGAAAATTCTGAAAATACTGTAATTTAAAGAGAAACACGCAGAAGAGGTAACATTTTGAAAAAGAAAATTCAAACTTTTAATAAACTAAAACTAACCCTTCAAATCCTACCCTAATGTGTAACCTGGATTTAACCCTAACCAGAAAAAATGTTTATAACACAAATTTACTGCAGAAAGATGTATTTTGTTCAGTGTGGAGTATCTGGGAATACAATGTGGTGCTGAAAGTTGTTCCAAATCTTTCCATGGAATTTTCTGAAGTAGAAACAAACGTGGCAAAGAAGACAGATTAGACTAGGATTGAGGGATTATTTTTCCTTCCAACTCTCATTAGTCTCAGTCTCCACATCTGTAAAGTCGACTTGATGAAACGGACGTCTTTTCCACAAAGCTTCAACCATGCATCACAAAGACTTAAAAACATCTGTTTTGCAAGAAAAAAAAATCAGTCAGTTTTCAGTATAGGAGCAACCCAACTGACGTTTTATCAGGGCGTCAGTTGCATACATTCAGTCATTTTTTGTTATCCTCTCAGAGAAAACCCATTATGTTGTTTTTTATTTAATGATCAATCTTACTGTCAGACGATCTGCTTTTATCAAACAGCCACTGCCTCAGTTTGGAACAAGACAATATTTGTCCATTTTCTCTCTCTGCCTCCGTCCTTCGCCCAAATGCTTCTGTCTCCACCTGCAGCAAAGTGAATAAATTTTCCTGCTTTCCCTCCATTTCTCTTCAGCCCCTCCATCGCCCCTTCCACCCTACTCCAAATACTCCTCCATTCGGAGTCGTACATGCCACGGTAATATATCCTCACAAGGTGGTTTCAGACAGAGTGTCATAACTCACATCACCACCAGAGCAGAGTCTGAGTGCCGTGGACAGAGAGATGCAAACACGTTGGAGATATACAGCGGGGAGAGCGACTGTGGTGTATTTCATCTCTGCAAACTCTGGGCCTGTTTTGATGTCTGTGTTGCACTCACGAACCAGAGTGGCACATGGACACGGCGCAGCATTGTTGAGTTAAAACACTTCTCTTCTCAGTTTATTTCATATTATTATCTTTTGGAACAATATTGACAGAAAAATGTTTTAATTAATGAATCTGGAGAACATTACTGCGGGGCAAAACCTTCAGTTTCTCCCTGCATTTCTGAGGATCCGGTTATTCTACAAAACTATAAAATAATAAGGCTTTAGAGTCAAAGTACAAAGTGTCTATTGATCCAATATTTCCTCAGATTCCTCAGATATCAGAATATTTCCTCTTTTCATGTGACCTCATGAGGCTTGGGCGCTCTTTTCATGTGACCTCATGAGGCTTGGTTACATATGTTGATGAAATGAACCAATAAAAAAAAAAAAAACAGAAACTGAAAAAATCTGCTGGATGAAAGATGAATCAGAGCTGTGTGCCCCCGGTGGTCACTGGAACACATGTGGGCGATGAGGGAGAGAGACGGGGTCACGGAGGGGCTACGAACACACGTCCACACGGAGGAACAGAGACATTTCCATGTGTACAGTACAAAACTGTTAGCATGGCTACATCATTATGCTAACAGCGGATAAGCAAACCTGGACTATGAGACAGGTGGCGCTCAATTTAGGTCCACGGATGTTGAATATAAATTCTTCTCTCTACAGTAAAAGTAATGGGTAAAAGTTATGAAACAAATTGAACAACCTCTGCATTGCTATGGCAACGGAAACACAACAGGCTGCCGTCTGTCTCCAGACGTCGCACACAAACTCCACATGGAAGTGAAACAAAAAATTCTCTGAACCATTTTCTTCTCTGGAAAAAAGTGGTGCTGCTTTTGTCCAATCATCATGCAGAAGCCCGGCGGCCATGTCTGCCCGGCGGCCATGTCTGCCCCGCGGCATGTCTGCCCGGCGGGCGGCCATGTCTGCCCGGCGACTCCCGGCGAAGTTTAGCTTTGGGCAAAGGTAATTGTTTCATTGTATTTTCAAAATAGTTCCTGGTGCTAGAAGCTCCTGGTACCGTTGGAGCTTCATTTTCTCACATCTGGATTATTGAGATAAATATCGGCAGTAAAATCCTCTTTTCTTTCGTCCTTATTTCTTTTCTACTTTTCTTCTCGTCTTTCCTTAAAAGACTGAAAAAAAATACCCCACCCAGTGAACAGTGAAGTTCTCGGGGTTCACGCTGAGGACACTTGTAAAACACATGCACTTAATATTAGGGTCATAAAAATTAAAAGCTATTTTGGAAAATAGAAAGAGAAATATTTATCCTCCTGGCTCTGCACACGGTTCACTTTATCTCGGGGCAGCGAGGGCCTGTCGGAGCACAGGTAACGACCGTCGACAAATGGGGGTGGGGGTTAATGCACTCTCTCTTTCTGCTTCCAAACCAGCTGCATACGCTCGGCGTCCAACCAGATGTCAGCGTGTGTGTGTGAGACTGGGTTTCCCCCCCTCCCCACCCCCCCGATCTCCTGGCCACAGTGACCA